CCCCCCCCCCCCCTCGCGGGGTTGCCCTGCGGCCCGTAGCCCAAACGTGCGCCCTCGAGGGCGGGCGCGTGGTGCCGAGGAGCTCTCGGTGCTGCCTTCTCCTTAGGCCCCTCGCCTCGCGTGCCCTCCGTGGGGCCCGGGGGAAGGCGCCGCTGCTGCGGCCGCGGGTGCTCTGCCCGGCAGGCGCTGAGGCACCCGTGGTGCGGCCGCCGCTCTGGGGGCGGGAGCGCAGACAGCCCCGAAGGCTGGGGCTGTTGCTGTTCGCTGCGCTCTGCCCTGTCGCCTGAGAGTAGTTAGGGCGGCAGCTTTCCAGAGGGAACGTGCCTTGTTCCGCCAGCTCACCTGGCAGTGGCAAAGCCTTAAGGGTTTAGGCTAAGCTGGTTTTGAAGTTAATTCTCTTTATTAATAGGTGGCTGTCAGGGCCGTCTGATTTTCCCTCTGTGAGACTTGTCACATTTATTGCTGAGTAGGTTGCTGTTTTTCAGTGTGATGAGAAAAATGACACTTGTTCTGCAGAAAGTGTATCTTAAATGCCTTGCGACCAGTGACAATTAGCTTGAGTCTCAGAAACTCCTCGTTCAACACCTGGGCAAACTGAATCATAGGGAACTGAAATGCACATCAGGACAGCTGTTCCTGCCCCTACGCTGGTGTATCAGTGAAAGTATAGGAGAAATACTCAATCCTGGTACTTATGGCTGTTTTCCTAATGAAAAAAAAAAGCTGTTTTCTGGGGAACAGGTACTGGGTGTCTCAATTTTTCTCATTTGTGCTGAGTGGGTAAACTGTTGTTGCTGCCTGGGCCAGCCACTGTCACCTGTTGGCACTGATGGAGCAGATGCTTGTGTTCATTGCATTAAATCTACAGCTGTTCCAGCATCTTCAGTGGACCCCGGTTAAAAATGGGATAGCTCCCATCCTGCCTAACAGCAGCCTCTTCCTCTGTATTCTGTAGCTGGAATATGGACGTTTGGGGGAGCTTTAATCTCAAAGTCCAAAGTCTACTGAATTAATTCTGTGCTTCTGTGGAGGGTTCTGCCCTGTGGTACAGAATTCCACTGTGTAGATTTTTACAGCTTTTACATGTGCCATCTTTTTTGTAAAAGATCCTGTGTGCCACAATGCAGCTAGTGATGACAACATGGGAGTGCTGAGTGCTAAGGGCATGCAGCAGACTTTGTAAGCAGGCAGTCCACTGGCTCTTAGAAAGCTTTTCCTGAGCTTCTCTCATCCTGTCTTTCCTTACTGAGAAAAGCATCATTATGTGGTGCTTTGCCAGTGAAGAAAACATTAAGCACAGATCTGTTTCCTGAGAGGAGGCTGAACTTGGGACTTGGAGTGCTGCTTTCTTAATTGTTGGCCCTTGGACAAACCGTTTCTACAAATGCTACCTGTAAACTAGGTGAATCTGTTGTGGTATCCAACTTTATAAGTATGTTTTATCATCCTCAGTAACCAGTGTGATAGCTTGGGATCAAATGTGGTTTCATCCAGCCCTGAAGTCAATGCCTATGGCAGCCCACGAATTTCTGTTGCAAATCAGGAGGGCTTTTCAGGTGAAAAGCTCACTTCTTTTTGGTTAGGGGAGGACAGAAGACAGCCAAAGGGTAGTCTAGGCATTCTAGGGAACGGGAGCAAGTGGTCAGATCCGTTCATTTTTCTCTTATCCTGCTTCCTGTCACTCGTGGGAGAAGCCCCTTGTGCCGGTCACCTACATACACCATCTCCTGTGATTCCCCAGGAGAGCGCCTGTCTGCGTGGCACTGAAGTGGTGTGTGTTGTGTGCGTGGGAGCACAGATGATGGCAACATCTAACATGCCATGTGTAGGTTAAGCCATGACGAAGAATGTGGGCAGGCCCCACCGTATGACTGGCCTCGTGGCCAGCACATCACAGTCCCTCATTTTCATTTTCATTTTTCTTGTGAGTTCTCCTCAGCCATCTGATGCAGAAGCTGTCAGGGTATATGGTCCTTTGATATGGCCGTAATATATATATACTTGTCTGTCTGGGATGTTGGGTACTGCTGCTCCTAACTAGGTTGAGTGGGCATAATTTTTTTTTTTTCTGCTTCAGTTCATACTGAAGCAGAACTTGCCATTGGAAATGGTTAGTTTTGAAAAACTGTGTGTTTAAGTGCATATTTAGGTAGTTAGGTTTACAAGCCTTTTTTATCAGTTTGTCACCTGCAGTATCTACAGTGGTTCTATTCAAATAAAAGTTGGAAAGCTCTTTCATTGGGGTTTGGTGTGCTCAGTGAGCTTGAAATCCAGTTTATGTTGAAATGCAGTTTGATGCTAAACCTAAGTAAAAATGCTGTTCATGTTGTTCCTTGTTTTCCAATATAATAAACATATAACATGATGATCAAAAAATATTGTGTGTCCTTTTTGCTGATTTAAACTATAATTTCAAAAAATATTTAATTATGCTTCTGGATTTTGTTTGCTTTGTTAAAGGGGACAATACACCTATTCCGCAAATCACAGAGGTCTTTGGTTGGAAAATTAACACATGAGTTTAGGTTGGTTGCAGCAGACAGAAGGGTAAGTAATGTAGGAGTATCTATTCGTTTGTCTATTTTTAGAGAAATAAGGATAAAATGATGTGCTAGCTATGCTAAGTTAAAATACATTACTAGTTTGGGTGTTCTGTTTTGTTTCTTTTCTTTTTTACTGTTTCCTTAATTTTCTATCTGAACCTTAAAAAAATGCAATTTTTTCAGGTAGCTTGGAATGTGGCTCATGCATCCTGTATCAGTACAGATATTGCAATAATACTACATCTGTTAAAAGTATATTTGTAGACCAGAATGGATAGACTCTTTATTACTATTAGTGCTTTAAATTACAATGGCTACTACATTTTCAACTTTAGGTGCCTTGCTGCTTGCATGTTGAAATACTACATTTTTTTTTATTTTTTAAATCAGATAGGTATATCATTATCTTATTTTGCAAGAAGTAAAATGCGTATTTATTCTCATTAACAGTCCTGGAAGATCCTGCTTTTTGGTGCTATAAATTTAATATGTATTGGCTTCCTGCTAATGTGGTGCAGCTCTACAAACAGCATAGGTAGGTGGCTTTTTTTTTTAATAACTGCAACTACAGCTGACAGCCATGAGTTATTAGTTATTCAACTCATGAAGTCTCAGTGAAGTTCTTCGTAAAAGACATAGGGAGCTGCGCTGCCAGGTTTGAAACGTGCAGGGCCTTCGAGGTGCCCTGCAGTCAGTTTAAGAGTTGGGGTTTAGGGTGGTTTTTTTTTTTTTTTTTTTTTTTTTTTTTTTGTTTCCTCCCCCCCCCCCCCCTTGGGAAAGGTGTAGATGTGCGGGTTGGGTGAAAGTCCTTCAGAGCTTGGAGTGCTTAACAAGATTTCCTGGTTGATTTTCTCCCTACCCTCTTTTGCATTAAGACTGCACCTAGGAAGACATAGGCAAGCCCTTCAATCTCCTGCTTTTGTAGAATGGTAGCAGCAGCCTATAGAGAGCTTTACTTGCAGTTGACTTTCATTTATAGTGTGGCAAAAGACCTCCAGCTACGTTGGACTAGTTCCAACTATGTATCTTTTGGGGATTTGTATATATCCTACCTTTGTATTGGAGTCCCAAGATGCTTGTGTCATCTGTACTTAAGGTAGAATGTCCCATATCTTTTAGATTGTGATACGTATGTTCTTGCAGTTTCGACACAGGAGGGAGAAGCAGAACCAATAAAAAAAAATCCATCGAGCCTATTTCTCTCACTACGATAATGCACAGAGGAGAGATCTTTTACTTTAAAGAAGTATAGGTTACAAAATTTTCTTACTTTTCTGTGTGTAAGTTCTACCAAGGACTATTTGTTCTTGGTAGCTTAGGACCTTATGGAGTTGGACACTATTACATGCTTTAATAGAATTAGGGTTGTCATAATCAGCCTGTTTATGAAATGAAATATTGGTGTATTTAGGATATTCATACTATAAATGTGCTCCATAAGCATAGAGAACTTATGCAGATAGAGAATAGTAAAGAGCTGCACAAGAGGGTTTAATAGGATTTTTTTTAATGCAGAAACTGCTTGTATTCAATTGTGACATTCAATTTTAATGTTTTGTKGGTTTTTTTTTTTTTTTTTGCAGCTTTAACTGCTTACACATATTTGACAATCTTTGATCTTTTCAGGTGAGATTTTATTTTTCTACTTAATTTCAGAGTTAATTTATGCCGATTTTTGTGTATTTAATTTAAAATATACATATACGTATAATTTTGATTATATGGTATTTTATGTATGAGTATAAAATAGAGGTGATGAGAAACACCATAACTATAATGGGAATATTTGGAGACAAACTGATTTAGTCAGTCTGTTTCACTCACTGATTTAGTCTCCTCCAGTGAGGTCACTAGAACAGTACCTGTGTATAAGCATTGTCAGCTCTTGTCTGTTCTGACCAGTTTCTGAAAACTAAAACTGTAATTTTCCAATCCAGCACTGGAAGATATATTAATATATTTTCTCATTTCCTAAGAAAATACTAAAAATACAAGAGGATTTTGATAAGATTGGTAACACGGACATAGAATATATTTGTCTCCTGTAAAACATAGGTCAGTAGCAAAGGTCGGAAAACAAACTGTGGTATGTGATGGACCAAGTAATGATTTGCAGATAGCTGATCTGTACTTTCTGTACACATTATCAGCTAGTGGGGAAGTTTAATGGAGTTTAATCACTAATAAATGCATATGTTTTATGCACTTTATCTCACTGATAGAGCATTTATAAATCCTGGCACACATGAAGAGAGGAAAAGGAAAGTATACATAGCTCGAAATGTGTCACATATCAAGAATGAGTATTGTGAAACCTCTGTAATAACTTTTTTTTTTTTTTTTAAAGAACTTTTGCACTTGTTAGGTTTTGTTATCTAACTCCAGGCTTTTTTTTTTTCATCTTGGGAAGATTTTTAATGTTTTATCTCATATTGTGTAGAATATTTGCTTAATTTTAGGACAGAATGAAATACTCTGAATATTGATGTACTTGGTTAATACAGGATGGACTGACTATAAGATTATTCTAACTCACAGGAGGCTCTTTGAAGAGTTTTAAGAGGGAACAATACTCTGGGTTTGTCGCAAAAAATAACCTTCTTGTTCTTTTATTTTTGTCATTTTCTTGGTCATCTATAACAGTTTTACTGATTAGATGAATTTATTGTTTGGAGCGTGGGCAGTATTATTTCCTCTGTCTTTGCATGTGATCCAGGCAGCTGTTGGCCAAGTTGTGAGGATGTGAGTGCTAGACTGCTGGGAGGATGTTCTTGATCCAGTCTGATTTAACACTTCAATTAAGAAAGGCTGCATAAACTTAGAGGTGGCCCCGATTTAGGGTGGTACCTATAGAAGAAGGGGGGCAGAGAATAAATAAGCATGAGAAATAAGATAATCTTTGAAAAATTCACACTGATACATCAAGAATAAAATAATTAGAATCTCAGAAATTTGGTATGAAGGAGATGCTTGGAAAGAAAATAGCAAGAGAGATCTGCGGCTGTCTGTTGGTGGCCACTTTGTGTGGCCAAAAAAGCAAATCCATTTTGGCCCTGTTTGTAGACATAACACACTGTGGAAAAGAAAAGAATGGTAATACTTTGCCTGAGAATAACAACATCCCTAAAAGAAGAATTTAACAGAAGATTTTCCTCTTTCTACCTTTTTTAACTGAGATGCAAAGGAAGTGGCACAAAGGGGATAGTCCTGTTGTCTTGCTTAGCAGGTTTCCTCTCATTTAATGGCCTTTATTAGGTTATGGTATTTCTAGACTTGTTATACAGTTCATAAAGCACATTCAAGAAGAGCATTTATTGGATGTGTCTTTTATTTTCATAGGCTTTTATTTGCTTTGTGCTCTTCATTAATGTGTGATATCAGATAGTATTGAACAGGTTTGCACAAACCACCCTTCCTCCTTTAGTCAGATTCTGGGGTACCTCACCCCATATTCTCAAGTTGCCTTTCAGAAGAGTTGTGAGCATTTAAGATGAGACACTAGCTGCTGCTTCACATCAGTACTTCAGCAGAAACATGTATTGCATCCAGGGTTGTGAGAACCTTGGTTCAGTTTAAGTCACATTCCATGTTGAAGGTGGATGGTAGTTCTCTTAACTACAGCATACTATAAGCATGGCATAAAAGTGTCTCCTAATATAAGGAATTAGGCTGACTGTCATTACACTAAAACTCATTTGCTGCCCATTTTAGGGAGAGAGCAGAGACCTCATTGCGTAGTCTCAGCTTTGTTGCCAAACATTCTTTTCTGGATGTGTCAGAGCCTTCCTTATGATAAGGGTGAAAGGGTTGAGTTTATAGTAAGATGATATATTCAGACATTCAGTTTTGATGGCTGAAACGTGGAATTTGTAGATTACCTGGTTTGTAAAGGCTGCAGTTGTTCATCATAACACAGTTTTCGCCTTTATTTTCAGTTTGGTAACGTGTCTAGTAAGCTACTGGGTGATGATGAAGAAACCCAGCCCAGTCTATTCATTTGGGTAAGTAGAGTGATTTGGTGTTGCTTTATAATACAAGATTTGATTATATTGTTGAGTGTCGTTACCTGTATCACATAAATGCCATGGCCAACTGTCTGTATGCAAGAGAGTCTAAAAATTAAGGAGACCCAAGATTGATCCTGTAAAGAAAAGAGGAGGAGAGGAGAGAAAAAAGAATTAAGAAATACTTAAGATGGAAATTATGGTCGTTCATATTGCAGGACGAATTTATTTATAAAATGGAGTGTCTGCTTCATGGAAGATGGAAATTATGGGACTTTTCCTTAAAAAAAAAAAAAAAAAAAAAAAAAAAAAAAAAAACTCTTCCCATATATCTTCAACTCTTGTAATTAAAAGAATTCTTCTTCTTGAAAGAATTAGAAATAAATAGGTCTGTCCTGCTTGTTCCTGAGTAGATCAAAATGTATTTGATGTATCGCTTGATGTTTAGTGTTTCTAAACTTAGTTCTTAAATTTCAGGTTTGAGAGATTTGAAGTTCTGGCTGTTTTTGCTTCTACAGTTCTGGCACAACTTGGTGCTCTTTTTATACTAAAAGAAAGGTAGGGTTATATACTTTTTTTCTTTTATTCTTGTTATATAACATGATATGCCTGTTTGAGGAAAAGCCAATGCCTTCCACAAATGTTTAGTGAAATATTTTTAGACATAACTTCAGTTGTTTTTTTCTTTGATATTGCTGTTTTTTATACTGATTACAACTACTAGACTTGAGATAAAAAGAAGATGAAATTAGTAAAGATAATTAAACAACTATCAAGGAAAGACTCAGTGTTCTAAAAATAAAATTACATTTTCCAGATGCTATGCTTGAAATTTGATTTAATGTGTTTCATTGTGCATCTTGACTTCTTAGATTCATAAGAAAAATACTTTCAGCAGTTGTTTCTTTTTTTTTTTTTTAACATTTCATGAGGAAAAACAGTTTTGCAACATTATATTTAAGATTTTTTTAAAGGCTTTTGTTAACATCAGGAATTTAAAACTGGGACAGTTTCCCTGCCTCCATTTTTTCTTTGGTGTCTCTGTTTTTGCTATAAAGGACTATGTTAACAACTAAAGGATGTTGTGCTAGAGATCAGTCTGTTGCAGATCACTGGCAGTACTGTGGATTGATTTTTTTTTTTTTTTTTTTTTTTAAGGAGGTTTTGTTAAAAGCAGATGGAACTTTTGAGTTTTCTTTCATTAGTTTCCTGAAATTTATCCTAGCTTTTCCTGTGTTACAATAGAAGCTTGATCCCTATTTTACAGGGGGGAAAAAAAAAGTACATCTCTTGTAATAGCCAACGTCTGCAACTATTGGTGTTGGTTAGTCGAAAACAGTAGCCCAGAGATTTCAAACTTTGTTACAATTAACGGCAGTGGTGGAGGCAGTGGTAGTGTTTTCCGGCATGTCCATTCACAAACATCTTTCGATTGCCTAGGCAGTGTTCATGATATCTAATTCCTATGTTTCACAATCTAGAAATAGCTAGAAAACCTAGATTATATCCTGCTCTTTTTTAGTGTTGTTCTCATTATTTATAAAAAACTACTCAGCTTATCTAAATTTATTTTAGCACCTGCAAGTGTTTTGCAGCACTGTATCTCGCAGCTTTTTTTCATGAATGCCAGCTAATTTTCATTTATTTTTTGTAGCGCAGAGCGGTTTCTGGAACAACCTGAGATACACACGTAAGAAATTATTTTGACATGTAAAGTTTTTAATGTCTCTGTGTTTCCATTTATTAATCTAGCTTGTATTGGCTTGTGTTATTATGGCAAGTTCGTTCAGTGCCAAGTGCCATACTACTGAGGGAGTAGTGTCCTTGTATCTTCAGAGGACAAACTTTGTATACACACATTGAATTGAGAACTGTTTCTCAACTAAGTGTTAGGAATGCTACGTTTAGCCTGCTGTGAGAATGTTAATGTACGGTGTTCATTGATCTCATGTATTTCCCTGAAATAATGAAATGCTGCTATTTATCAAGTGTTATGCTCTTTCATCGTAGTCTTGTTTTTAGTCTTGGTGGAAGATACCCAGCAAAGTATTTTGTTATTGCTAATAGTAACTCCAACTTTATTTCCTGTACTGTAGTGCTAATAAGATGAAGATGCATCTTTCTTCTTTTCCTTAGGGGGCGGCTGCTGGTTGGTACTTTTGTGGCTCTCTTTTTCAACTTATTCACAATGCTTTCCATTAGGAACAAACCTTTTGCTTATGTCTCTGAAGGTATGTGAGAAGTTAAGCTATGACAAAAATTGAGAAAAAGTTTGTGTTACCTATTCTTATGAAGGTATAGCTTCTCTAGTAACTTTATTTTTTTTTTAACTAGCAGGTGCATACTGCTATTTTCTCCATGGATATAACTTAAAGCAGCTTAGAATTGTCTTGAATTCTTCTCTAGTGTGTTTATAGAATTCTCTCAAAGTAGTACAAAATCATTAATAAGATAACTGAGTTAGCATTTTAATGATAATGCTATTTTAATGATAGAAGATCATCTTACATGTGATCAAAATTTTAAAGATAAATACATTAATATATAAGAGTCTTTAATCTGCAGTTGTTTGTATTTAATCAGGTCAGATATAATATAGCTAAATGCATTTTACTTACTAATTGCCTAGAAAAGTCACACTTACCATTTTTTTTCAAGTGATAGTGAATCTGTGGAGTTGTACCTACTCATTCACAGTGTACTAGATTCTTACCTTAAAGCAGAACTTGAAGAGTATAGTAAAGCTTTATTCAAGGTCTTTATTATGTTCTTTTGCAGCTGCCAGCACCAGTTGGCTTCAGGAGCACGTTGCAGATCTCAGTAGAAGGTAAAGATTTATAAATTTTTTTCAAATTGCTAACTCTTAGAAGGCATAGGTGTTTTGTGCATTAGCATTTTAGAACAGGTGCAAAAACACAAACTGCTAGATATTTCACCTGTGTTAAGATAGTGTTAGATACGGTATATGGATTTTAGCCTAAACAGTGTGTCTGTTATTTCCCGTATGTATCATCTAACAGAACTGCGTATTTTCCCTAACTTTTCTCTTGAGGGTGTTCGGTACATTATTATATGCTGTTTTTCCTGGATGAGGCTGGGATAAAATAGCTTTGTTTTGTAGACGTGAACTGCATTTCCCAAGAACTGCTACCTACCTGAGAAATGTGTGTTCTAGCAATCGTGTTTCATTATTTGTAAGCAACTAGGGCAGTTTCTATTTAAATAAAACGTGTGAAATACAGTGCTCACTTAAACATTATTATGGAAACTCCTCACCAGTCCTGTAGGGAGGTAGAAAGCCTGGGTCTTTCAGGGACTGAAGTGCTGTTTGTCACTCATGTTAGCTTTTAACTCTCTTGCTTGTACTGAATATCTGAATGCCAGATAACATCTGTTGCAAATACTGTCAGATACTGAATGTGTTTATTTTAGCCCCTATAAATCCTTTTGAGTAATTATGCTCTATGAAAGTAAGATTCTTATATACACTTAAACCAACAATTTAAAAAAAAAAATCCGGTTAGCATATTTGCAGCTATTTCAAACGTGCTCTATGAATCAATGCTGTTTACAAAATAATTGCATCTATATATAATGATGTTGAAGTTTGAAGTCAAATTTTTAGAGAAATGGATCAGCACACTATGTCCCAAATTGGTTGGCCCCCAACAGAGCAATGAAGAATTTCATATTGTCTTTTCCTCTAGATTTTACAATACATGATACGTGCTTATGTTTACTGGGAAGTGCAGTATCTAAAACTATAAAGTATACATTGTATTTAACTAACACAGCTATATGTTGTGTACAACTGACACAGCTAGATCTGTCACTAAGAAAACGATGTACCCAAAGATATGTGTTAGTGCTGTTTTAGTGTATGGTTATAAATGGGAAGATAGACTTGAAATATAAGATGTAAGAGCCACTTAGAGTTCTCAGATATGAGAGAGAATGTGACATGGCTTTAAACTTGATTATTTTTTTTGCAATAGTCCAGCATCAGACTACTGCAAAACTTTGAGCAGAATTATGAAGAGCTTTAACAGTTTTCAGAGTCTGTTTTCAGAGACTGCAAAGTGTGTTTAAATTTAAATGTTAAAATAATGAGTGTAATTCTTTCAGGTTTTGTAGTAATGCTGAGCAGCCACCTGATAATGACTCGTTTTGTTTTGTTGCAGTATTTGTGGAATTATCCCAGGACTGAGTAGCATCTTTTTGCCGAGAATGAACCCTTTTGTCCTGATTGACATTGCTGGAGCACTAGCCCTGTGCATTACATATATGCTGATTGAAATTAAGTACGTGTAGCCTTTCTTAATCTTTTTAAAATTTAAACGATGTGAAATTGCATTTTTTACTGCAAGCAGTGATCTCCTCACTGAATTTCACATATAAGGGATTGTAACTGTGTGATTATATTTGACTTCTTACAAAAATGCATACTTCTGGTAAGTGTACGATATTGTATGTGTGGATATCATTTCAAAGAAAGAAAAATTTAAAAAAGTGCTTTTCAAATACTTAAATACCTATTTTCTTTTAAATTGCTCTTTTTCTCTAGCAATTATTTTGCTGTAGACACAGCGTCTGCTATAGCAATTGCTTTGATGACATTTGGTACCATGTATCCCATGAGTGTCTACAGTGGTAAAGTACTACTTCAGGTAAGGCAGTGTCACAAAACAAGTATTGTGTGGCTTCAGTGTTGTTAAATATCTTTATTTTTAAAAATCCATTGTTGAAAATCTGAATGGGAAGGGTGCCAAGAGGATTTTATGATAAAGTGCTAAAAGAATTTTAAGTGCAATATAGGGGAATATTATGGAGGCTTAAGAATTTTATTATGCGAGGTAGATAGATGAGACATAGGTGTTTTTCTATTTAAAACAGGGCCAGTTTATCTTTATTGTAACGTGATTTTTTTTCTTTGTTTGCTTTTAAGACAACCCCGCCTCATGTGATTGGCCAGTTAGATAAACTTCTTAGAGAGGTGAGTCAGTTTATAAACATGACACAATGCGTGCAGCTAACACTTAGTAAGCATGGGGGAAACCAAAGAGTTCTTTTATGCTCAAAATAGTTGCTGAAGAATTCTATTGTATTCTTTTATTGAACATAGAAAATATGAAGCCTATTATTTAAGATGAGCAGTGTCACTCATATCTGGAAAAGACTTTGAAGTGATGAAAGTTTTTATTTTGCTTTTATTTTTAAACTAAAGTTACTGTTGTTGGAGACATTTAAAAAAGTGAGTGGGGGAGGAAGAGTAAAGAGGCTGTTTGTTTATAGAATATCAAGTTGAGAAAATGCTATAAATTGACATCAGAAATCCCAAGTTACTTCAAACCTTTTGATGAAACTGCACTTCTACAGGTAGCGAAAGATACAGTAGATACACGTTAGAAGCAATAGACTTGGTCCATTCTGTGTTCTGGTAACTTTTCTTTGACTAAAAAGCCATTAATGAACTACATCAAATTGTGCATTTCTAGAAAGGTATAAACCAATTTTTTCTGTTTATTTTTGTGTTGATGGATGTTTGTACAAAAATTAGGTTTCAACTTTGGATGGTGTCTTGGAAGTTCGAAATGAGCATTTCTGGACATTAGGTTTTGGCACTTTGGTAAGTTACGTCTGCTTGTTTCTAGCCTTCAAAAAGAAGCATTAGTTATTTAAATTTTTGACCCAAATAAAAGATTTCTTTTGAATTAAAGAAATGTAAGAATTTGGATAAAATCAATACTGGATCCTTTCTTATGTTTTATTGAAAAACATTCCTGTTATCTTTCCTTCATATAAAGCTTCGCTATTGGTTAATGATGAGCTTTTGATTAAAGACTGCCTTTTAGATATATTTTTTCTTTTTGTTTTTTGGGAAATTCCCAAGCAATACCAAGGAAATTCTTCACAAGGTGTATAAATGTAAATTATTTCTGAGCTGAGGGGGAGGAAAAAAGAAAAAAAAAAAAACAAGTAAACCTTCCAGTACCAAAGGTAAAACGAGGCTTACAGTAGAATCATATATTTGTAGCAGTTACGGGGGGAGGGAGGGAAGAACAAAACTACAGTTGTAAACTAGTGTTCAAGAAGGTGGAGAATAAAACACAATTTTTGTGGTACAGAGTGGTCATACAGGACTGAGGTATTCGTGAGTTAATGCAGGTACATCTTGTGAGTTAGAAGATTAAGACTTTTCTCCCTTCTTGGATTCTTCCAGTCTCCTACCCTTTAAAAAACGTTGCAGGCTTTGTTGAGTTGTTGCTATGAAAATGACCTTTATTCTACCATTTTGCTACTCAAAATAGTGGATCACAGCATGGCTGGATTGATCACAGGTGGATGAGATACTTCTGCTTGAGTATTTACTTACTGGCATCCTTCAGATTCTAGGGAAATGTTCCCGAGGCTTGGATATACTCAGTGCTGCACCAGCTCATACAAAAATTTGCTACCTGTCACAAACTGTAAATCAAATTCTTCATTGAATATGAAATGAAAACATCTGAGGTGTCCAGTTTTGTTTCTTACCTGCAAAGGGAATCCATGTAAAAGAGAATGTTGCCGAGAGGTAGGTGGTACAGCCAGCTGTACCTCCCAAGGGAGACTCTAGTCCGTGTTCGTGAGGGGCAGCACATCTGGTCTTGCTAAAAGGTCCAAATTGGAGCTTATCAGCTATGTGTGGTGCTTTCTGCCTGTGCCATCAACACCATGAGGAGAAGAAGGTTTAAAAAAAAAAAAAAAAAATTTTCCTCAGTTTGGAACGTGGAGCTTCCTGATTTTAAAACTCTAAAACTTTTCCTGAGTGGAAATCTTGATGGGTTTGTGAGAGTTCAACACATTAGGAGTGGTCAAAATGTAATCTGGTTATAGGATGCATGTTTCTGTGTTCAGTCAGCAGCCCCACTGGGAAAGGTCTTTGCATAATTTTGTGCAGGGGAGCTTTGCTCTGCATGAAAGCCCGTGCTTGGGCAGTTAACAGCCAACTTATTCTTATCCTTTTCTAGGCTGGCTCGGTACACGTGCGAATCCGGAGAGATGCAAACGAGCAGATGGTGCTTGCCCATGTCACCAATAGGTTATACACACTGGTCTCCACCTTGACCGTTCAGATTTTCAAAGATGACTGGATCAGACCTACGTTATCCTCTGTGCCTATTGCAAACAATATGCGGAACCTTTCGGATCACCACGTTATTCCAATGCCGTCTTTGAAAGCGGCCGATAGCCCGAACCCCGTGACGTCCACCCCAGCCAAGCCGAGCAGTCCGCCGCCAGAGTTTGCTTTTAATACACCTGGAAAAAATGTGAACCCTGTTATCCTTTTAAACACTCAGACAAGGCCCTATGGAATGGGGTTAAATCACGGAGCTGCACCTTATAGCAGTGTATTCAATCAAGGATTTGGAATACCAGGAATGGGAGCGACGCAAGGACTCAGGACTGGTTTTACAAATATCCCAGGCAGATACGGAACAAACACTTATGGTCAGCCCCGACCATAATAAACACCATTATTTATTGTACTGAGGGTATTGACTTAATTCTTTTATTACCCAATTTTTATAAACATTTGGAATGTCAGAGCATTCTAAATGGCTGGGAACAAGTGCATTGTTCGTATTCATGAAATGGTTCAATTGCTTTTCTTCTTTTTCTCCTTTGCATCAGCAGGAGCCTGTGAAATGGCACAACTATTTTCGAGACTTACGATACTTTACAGGTATTTTTATAGCGCCTCTGTTCCCATTCAGCTCCCTGCGCCCCAAGAAAGTATTGAAATTCAGCACAACTCCGTGTCGGCCAACTGGTAGCTCTGTGGAGGAGGCGGAGGGCCTGGGGAGTGAATTGCTTACCGAATGGGGATTAGTCGAGAGGATAGGGATCTGCAGAAGTACACATCCCAGTGCTTCAGAATATTTTGATTGTTGTATAAATCCATATTTTGGCAAATTAGCAATGAGTTTTCTGGATTGCAAAAATCCGTCAGTATTTGTATGATTGCCATTGTGAAAACAAACTGGTATTTCAGATGCTAATGAATTTTAAGGGAGCATGTTTCTACATGTTTTTTGTTGATGCTTTTATGGGAGTTCACATGGTTCAGCAACTATTTTGTAGTTGTAACTGTTCCATATTAGTCCCTGCCTTCTTTTTTTAGGTTTAATAGCAACATTTTTAGCAATATACTGGGAAATAAAATATTTCAAATATAAAGTTTTTACAAGCACTTCTTGCTCATGATTAATCCTATGGAAGATGCAAGACAGCAGTATTGTTTGTGAAGCCAGTATTTAATTTTGACTGAAAGTATTTAATTTGGTTCTGACTTTCCCATTTGTATCTTTCCAGCATTTTTTTTTGGTGGGGGGTGGGATGGGAATCTCTGTTTAACTGCCTGGTGTGTAAGCAGAGTTCAGGTTGGTGATTGCCGAGTTCTCAGCATCAGTGCCATGGGGATTAACTTGTGGGACACGCTGCATTCAAGACTGCAGAACTTGTCTCTGCCATTGCGTTGCTGCTCTGTTGTACACCCACGGGGCTTTATTTTGTGAGGGCTTTTCTAAGAGAGCTCCTTTGTCCGACTGCTTTGTTTTCCTTCATCGCTCTGGTGGAAGCACCTTTTAGAAATACTGTGGTTTTGCCTCTCTGACTCTGCAGTAGGAATCTTTTAATTCTCTAGGCAGGACCTTGACTGCCTGTTCTGCATCTGGCCTGTTGGGGAGTGGGTTGCCCATCCTCAGTGCCTGACTTGCCACTCAGGGTGCTATATATTGACTGCCACCTTGTTGATTTGCATACAAAGTAAGTTTCTTCATCTGTCCAGAACGTAGGGAGATGCAGTATCTCAGGGATTTGCAGCTATTAATATATTACCTGAAGAGAATGGATATGATAGAATTTCTTTTTCCTCTGGTAGACTAGACCTGAGTTGAGAAACAAAGTGGAATAGCCTTCACGGGAATCTTCAAGATCTGCAGCCTCTTCACACTGGTTGGAGTGCTCTGTTTCTCCTGAGAACATTGCTCTTCTCTTGGTTTCTCCACCACTCGTGTTTTTCACCCTGACACAAGGAGAGGGCCTCCCCCTTGCTGGGGTGCTGCAGGACAGTGTCTCTGTGAGAGGCAGTGCTGAGAATCACTGGTGCTCAGAATACGTGAATTACAGGGAAGGAGTCTAGTTCTGTACCTCATTTGCAGCAAAATAACAGAGAGAGATCTGTGTTGGCAAGTGGGATGGCCTGGGAAGGGGGCATTGAAAATGCTAGTGAACTTGAAGTACTGGAGAGGTCGGCCTGAAAGCAGTAACTCAGTCGTGACCCCTCTGCCTCCGCATAGCCAGTGTCCTGTTAGCTGAGCCCCTGCTGCGTGGAAGTGCCCTGAGGCACAGAAGGTTGGAGCAGATTCTCCTTCTCTCTCGGTGCTTGGCTAGGTCGCTCTCTACAATAAATTCAACACTTTGGAGCCAGCAGAATGTTTACAGTGTCCTATTGCCCCCATGTGGCCTGAGAACTGTTCCTTTCTCCAGTTTCATAACCAAACATCACCCTTCTTTTGATGTTTTAGGTATATTATGCTATGTTGATTGCATGCCTACTTGTTTTTAGTAGAAAATTAAAGCTTCATTTTGTTTTAAAAAAAAAAAGAGGCTTATCTTTGATTTTGAAAGGAGAAGGGAAAATAGAATCCCATACTGCAGAGTGCAATATAATCAAAACATATTTTTGGAGTGATTGTTTACAATTGTGTACAATATGTATATAATCTGCAGATGATACAGTTTAGAAGAGCTTTTTAGTTGCTTTGTTATTATAAATATAGTGAGAATATTTGTGAATCAGCACAGAGTAAAACGCCTCCCTATATATGAGGAAAATAAAATCAGTATGATCCTTAAAATGACAAGATAAAAAGTGGTCATTTATGTACAGGATTTTATAGTTCTCTTTCTCTATACTGATGTTTAAATCATTCTCTCTGGTGATACTTCAATCTCAATAGGCAGAGGTGTGGAGCTTTAGAACCAAGTGCTTTGCTGGCTCTGCTACCAGTCTAGACTCAGTACTTGTCCTAATTCTACCAAAAGGATTTTTACTGCATTTTGTCTTTTTTGATTGTATTTTACCTCCGGTGTTAGGTGGCCACAATAGATTTCCTTCATAGTTATCCAGAAGCTGCCCCGGCTGCGGGAAGAGGTGCCCTTGCTGTTCCTCTCTGCCGGAGGAGTCAGTGTTGGGGGGTCCTTAACCTATTCAGGCTGCTTGTGTAGGGCAACGTCCACTCGTGGTGCAATTAAATGCGTCAGCTTTTAGAGGATATGGTGGGTGTGTGCCATTACCTAGCGAGGTTCCTTGTGGCAAAGTGACAGTGCTGCTCAGTGTCTCGCCAGCTGTGTTGTCCTGAGTGGGAGCTAGAGCTCTCGGGCAACGCGATAGCGATGCAGTGTGTTCTTGTGGCAGCTTCCTCTGAGTTTATCTTGCCCTGTGCTCTCTATCCCATGTAACAACCACATGTACCTGGGCTCTGACACGATAGTGAGAGATAGGCTTGACATAACTGAGATGTGGTAAATCTTACTCAAGGAGGAGACTTGTGCAGGAGTCATCCTGACTTGTGTTAACTACTGGACTCCGTGAAATCCTTCCATTGATCTGTGTCCCCTGCAGCCACAATCCAGCAGGGAAGGAGAAACTGTCCAGGGATAAGATCTTCAGTATACAGGTTGCCTGTTGGAAATTCCAGGGGATTATCTGTGCTCTGAAGTACTCTCTTTACAGGGCTTGGAGTGGTTAAGAGAGGATATCTTTGGGTGTACTTAAAGGATACCCCTTTATGTTCTGAGAAAAACTGAGTATTTTTTAGCAACCTCTATCTCATTCCTTTGCACCAAGCAGACGCGACTCGGGAGAGCCACGTTCCCAGGCTGTGAGGAGATGGTGACACAACTGGTATCTCAGACACCTGGCGCTAACCATGTGCTTAAATTTGGGTCTCGGCTGGCTTTCATGGAGAACAAGGGAGGCATTCCACTGTAACAACAACCCTCTGGTTCCCCCATTTCGTAATGAAGCCTTCTTTCAGGAATTGTTAAGTTCCTGTAGAACCAGAGTATCTAATAAATTCCGCCACAGGGCACTCTGTAAAAGCAGAATGCGTTTTTCAGAGGATCTGCAAATTATGAAGTACCACAAAGGAGTTTACGTGTAAAAATATAATCAGCCACAAACTTGTTTAACGTTTTTGTGTATAGCCTTTTTATTTGCCTTTTTATGTTTATACTTTTTTCTCTTTTTTTCCTTTATCTTTTTTCTTCTTCACAGTGGGGCTCAATAGAGGTAGGTGCCTTACATTGGTCAGAGCAATCAGACTTCAGAAGGCTAAAATTTAGAATGTTATTCTCACTGGCAGCAATAGAGGAAAATATGATAGCAAATATTTCAAAAAGCTTTGATTTAATTTTATAACTGTACAGCAATAATTATCTGAAAATAAACACAACTGTCCAATTTTTAGAGCTTTTTATTGTGTTTTACTTTGGAATTTGCATGCAAAAAGTCAATATCACATGGAAAAATCACAAATGCAGAAAGATGGGAAAACATTACAAAGTGGCATTTCTGTTTGCTCTTGAGCAACAAAAATAAACTGAGTTTCTTTATCAGGCTGTAATATTATAGCACAGTTTTGTGAATTTGCATTGCTTTAAGTATACTTTTTTATTGCAACTTTAAAATATGCATGTAAATATTTATCTTAGGTTCAGAAATGTTTGCTTTTAGCAAGGAAAATACAAGCCAAATTTGACATGATTACAACTCTGTAGATTATCTCCTTGTTAAATCTCTTTGCAGTTAGAATTTTCTAATGGAAGAAACTGCCAGAACAGGAAATACTGATTTTTTTTTTTTTTTTTTAATAGGAGAGGGGGAAATAAAATGCTCCTATTCTTTCCTCCTCAGTCAAAACTCCAGTTCTCTAGGTAGCTTTGTTCTCCTGCCTACTTCTAGTAGATGATTTCATTCTAGGTTAGATTTTTGCCACAATATCATGCGAGTTTTCTTGAATAATTCCATGAGGGAATTTACAACTGCAGGATTGTTGAAGCAATGAGTAGCTTTCTCTGATATAGATTGTGGCTGGTCTGTGGTGTTAGGAGCTTAAACTGTCTCTTTGCTTGTTCTTATGCTTATTTTAGTTTCAACAGATAGTATTCCACTTTAAAATCACGTTTATATAAAACTAGTTCCTAAAAATGATCACCTCCACAGTGTGGTTGCTTCAGATGTCATCTGCACTGCAAACAGCAGTTTTTACTGTTTCTTGTAGGGTTTGTGTCAAGTTGTGAATGACTCCCACAGGAATGGCCAGTGTGTGTTGGGCCACGTGCTCCCACACGGTACCCACTCTTCACCTTATCAGCCCTGCGTGTGGTCAAAGCATGGTGGAAATCCCTCCGTACCTTCCTGCTGGCATCACTTCTCCCTGCCCTCCTCTAGGAGGTTGCACAAAGTCTGCAACCCAGGGGAGAAAGAAAACCACTTTGGGGCAGTTTTATGGTGGCCTGGTTTCTGCGGAGAGGAGCTCTTACAATATCCTCTTTGGGGAATGAGGAGGGGAAAGGGAGATGGTTACAGATTCCTTCTTTGTGTCAGGAATCTCAGTGGCTATTTTCAGCATGAGGTGGTTCAGTTCAACCCAAAGCAGAGGTATGTTTTAGTGTGAATTTTGCCTCTCACGGTAATCTATCAGTGACCAGTGGAGAAGTTGGTCACACCTTGTAAAAACTGTAGCTAAATACTGAAGTTGGGAGGCATATTCCCTCCTGAGATTTTAATATATAAAACAGTGATGAACAAAATGGAAAAAAAAAATCCTTTTTTTTTTTTTTTTTCCCCCTCATTGTTCATAGGCAAGACATAGAAAAATCAAATCCTTTCCAGGCTGAAAGTATCTCTTATTTAGTGGTATCTTGATATCAGAAAATTGAACCAATTTATCAAGAGCTATTGCCATATTTGGCTCTGCTTTAGTGTTTTCCAATGCAAATTAAGTAGCAAACATGAAAGTGGGTAAACAGTATTTAAAATAGCATATGATTTGTTGCCAGTGTACTTATCACAGATTGAGATATTCCAGTACAAACACTTGCAGAATTTTGCTGAGGTTGTCGATAGTGGTTTTGTCAAGGTTTTCTTCCGTGTCCTCCATCGTATGCCATACTTCAGGAAAAGGGGATGGAATCAGGTGTAGGACTGGAACCCCTATGAGGAGAAAGCAAATTTTGAGGGGGAAAAAAAGGTAGGATTTTGGTAAGCCAGTGGGTGCTAAAGTCAGTTACCTGCTCAATACACTTTACAGAGGAGTGTGTGTCACTTGTGTCACCGCAGTTTCCTTACAGCTTCTTTATTTTTTGAAGCCTCTGTATTTTTGAAGCCTTTGCAGCCCATCGCTTTCACAATGTATTTCCTAACACTCCCATCTCCTTCTGTCAAGTCTTTTCTCTCTTTTAAGACAGCTGTAGCTAGTAGTTTTACTGCCATACCTGCTCTGTGCTGTTTGCTGTTTACTACTGTGCTTAGGAGCTGCAGAAGAGAAGCCCCTGCATCTCCCCGGCTCCCACGCTGGTTACACTGTTCTTTTTGTAACAGGGTTAGGACCAGGCACTTTTTGAAGCAGTTATTGGCCCTCTCCGCAAGTTGTAAATTAGGCTGTGTTGTTACTAAGGCTCTGCTCTGTGATATAGTTCAAATATTGTCCTCTAAGAAGAGAATTTCCACCTGAAATGCTCTGTATTGCTCCATGCACATGTATTGAGCCACTGATATACAATGCAAATATTAGTTAAAAGAGGAATTAAATCAACTGTTTTTCTTCCTGATCGGTTTTTGGGCACAGCAGTGAAATGTTTTTTCTTTGCAGCCTGCTTCCTGTTTTATTGGCTTTTCCTATATCACTTATTTCAGCCGCATATTTCTCAGAGCAGCCCCCTTTTTAATTAGGCATTAATCATGATATTAGAAAATGCTTTTCACGTATAGTGCTTGTTTTTCAGCTTCTATAAGATAGGTTTTTTGGTATCCATAGTCATGCGTGTGAGAGCTCTGTTGCCCTCATTGGCCCTGGGGCTCTGCATCGCTGCAAACAGTGGAAGGGGTTCGTGTAGCTGGAGAGCTGTATGGACAAATATTGACTTGCAAGAGTCAATATTGAAACATGTAATACTGGGAATTGCTGTCGATTGGGCAGTAGAACTTTGTAGAATTTAGCAGGTTTTGTAGATGTGACCCTTGACTGTTTGTCTGCTTCTAGGAGTGATACGCT